TATGCTGTACTTTACATCCCTCATGACTGTTATAATATATGACAATATCTGTAATATCTGCACATCTTAACTCCTTCCCCCTTTTCACCCATCCCACCAATCCCCCTTCCCACCTGGAAACCATCAATTTGTTGTATCTTTAAGTTTCTTTTGTTCAATTATTTTGTTTTTTTGATTCCACATATAAGTGAGATCATATGGTATCTGTCTTTCTGTTTGACTTACTTCATTTAGCATAATACTCCCTAGGTCTATCCATGTTGTTGCATGTTTGTTTTCTGAAGATTTGATTTGAGAACCAACTTTTCAAATAAAAATCTGAGTCTTAAAAAAAAAAATACTGAAAGTGATTCTCAAGTTTCTTTAAAGAAACTCAACTTTGAGTTTTCCACAGGAAAAGGGCTTCCTTTTGTTATAACTCTAAAGTATTAGCAGGGGTGTCCAACCCGTGACCTGCAGGTCACACATGGTCCAGAACAGCTATGAATGCAGTCCAACACAAAATCATAAATTTACTAAAAACCTTTTTTTGCTCATCAGTTTTTATTAGTGTTTGTGTATTTAATATGTGGCCCAAGACAACTCCTCTTCTACCAATGTGGCCCAGAGATGCCAAAAGGTTGGACAACCCTGTGAGATTCCTTTAGGATTTTGCTGTTGTTCTCTCTCGTATTTTCATTTCAACTTCCAATGTCCCCTATGTTAACACGCATGCATGCACACACACACCAGCCAATCTGGTCTTACAACCAACTCTACACTTCTCATTCTTTCCTTCTCTTTCACACTTCAAGTCTTCAATAAAATGGCTCTACTTTTAACTTCCCTGTATCTCTCTCTCTTTACATAACCACCAGTAAGATTGACCCACTGAGTTGCAAACATGTACTACCAACTCCCTACCAGACATTTCCACTTGTCCACCTGAAAAACCCCTACTCATCATTCCAATTTTATTCCAAATATCACCTCCCTGGTAAAACCTTGTAACACCTCCCCCACCAAGAACTCATCCACTTATCTATTAAAAATTTCTGACACTGAAAGACCCACCTTTACATTTAAGACAAAGTCAAAAGCTTTCCAGACAGGCAACAAAATAAGTAAATAAATAAATGTAAGATTAATTAGAATACACGTTGTGAAGGTAGTCAAAAGTATCAATACAAACTTCCAGTAATAAGAAAAATAAGTCCTGGGGATGCAAGGTACAGTATGAAAAATATAGTTAACAATACTATACTCTCTTAGCAGTTGAAAGATGCTAAGAGAGTAAATTTTTAAAAGTTCTCATTAGAAGAAAAAATATTTTATAAACATGTGTGGCAACAAATATTAACTAAACTTACTGTGGTAATCATTTTGCAATATATACATATATTAAATCATGTACACTTGAAACTAATACATTATATGTCAATTATATCTCAATTAATGAAATACACTCAGAAGATACAATAATGTATAAGCAGGCTGGTCTTGTTTATTTTCTAACACAGCATTTTGTGCTCAAAAGAACAAAGTGAAGGGGACCAGTACAATGCAATAAGGAGTGGTAGGGTTTGTTATCTTCTTGAAAGAATAGATGAATAGGAATTGGTCAGGTGAAAAAATTCTACCTCGACCTTTCTTTTTGGCCAGGTGAGGGGGGACTGCACAGCAGGAAGGGGCATTTCAAATAGAATATAAGGCATGTGTGCTTTTGTGTGCCTAGTTCAGTGGCAGAGAAAGGGAGGGAAGATTAGTGATGAAGTTAAAATTAAAATGGTACCGCGGTTCGATTCCCAGTCAGGGCACATGCTTGAGTTGCAGGCCAGTTCCCAGCAGGGGACACATGAGAGGCAAACATACATTGATGTTTCTGTCCCTCTCTCCTTCCCTTCCCCTCTAAAGATAAATAAATTAAAATTATTTTTTTAAATATCTTTAAAAACACTGGTTGTTAAAAAAATTTAAATGGTAGGCAGATGTCAGAATTTTAGGTAGAACAACTGTAAATCTATTACAATTTTTTTCTTTCTCTATACTTGATAATTACCTGCCTATGATATTAGGCCAACCTTGTTAAAAACCAATTTCCAGTCTATATCTAGATTTAAATAACACATTTTCCTAAATGATTTTTCAGAAATAAGACACTATCAATGAAAAAATTTTAAGCTAAAATATTTTAACTGCCTTTGGTCGAACAGCAAAAAAACAAATATTTCAATAATATCATCATGATCTTGTGAAATGTTTTCAAACACTTCACTGAAAGAGGGGATTCTGAAAAGGAAAATGAGCATGGTACTTTCACATCTGTTCTCACTTTGTCTCACTACTGAAAGTAGGGATTGCTAATGACTTTTATAAGGCTAGGGAAAATGAGAAACAGGGAAAGCAGAGATTTACTGCATTTTAAGATGTGTATTTTCACACTATGACTTTTTTAAAAAATCAAGATAGATCTCACACTACTGACTTAATATCATCTTGGGTATACTTTGAATTAAAAAAACATGCTAAAGCATTTCAACCAAAGCCAATAGTAACAAAGTGGCAGAATGGGGTTAATAGAATTCTGCCGTCAAGTTATTAACGTATATTAATAGGAACAGAGTAGCCTGTCTGACCATTCTTTCAGTAATTTAATTAAATGTATGGGGCCTATCTTCTACTAGGCTCTTCTTGAAATACAAAGCCACACAATACACTTTTTCTGCCTTTAAGAAGTATATAAATCAAACACAGATGCCCACACAAAGTAACATTCTGGGATTAATATTAGAAAAATTACACACTTCCCAGCTTTTTGGTTAAGATCATATATTAAACTGACAGAACAGATATCTACACCTGAGGATAACATAGTAAATAGACTTTTAGAGCAGGAAGATGGGATAGAAGCTTGCTCCATCCACTCCGCACATCGACCTGGTGTTGCTGTACTTCCAGGAACAGTATACCCCCTTGAGAGAAATATCAGAAAGATGATACAAAGTGAGATATATGCAGGTAAAAGGTAGTCACTTCCAGCCAGCATACCAGGAAAAGCCTCACACATCATGAGAACTTAATATATGTTGACTCTGAAAGCATTACGGAAGATCCAGGTTAGGCCTTGAAAGGCTAACAGAATTTCACAGAGGAAACACTCCACACAGAGGGAGCAGCAGAGACCAGAATAAAAGGCACTCGGCCTCACTGGCAGAAGAAAGGTAAAGAATAATGAAAAGTAAATGGGGCTAAAATATGCGATTCCTTCGAGGTCAAACAAAACAATGTGAGCAGAGGATAGTCTGCAACCAGCCACGTTTCAGGAAGAATAATCTGACAGTACACTATGCAGGCCGAACTGGGGTGGAGACGAAGCACTGCAGCATAGAGTCCAGTGTCAAGTATTTCAGTGCCTGACCTAGTGATAACAAAAGCAATGGCATGAAAGGAGTGTGTTCCTTCTGAACTGCCTCAGGATTGTTTTTGAATGGTAACAAAATACAAGAGAACAGCACCAACATGCTAACATTTGTAGCCCCACTACTCCTAACACAAAACCGCACCCATAGTAGATGCTCAATAAACAAGCTGAAAGAAGTCAACTTGCAAAAACTAATTTGAATCTTTACTGCTAAATGTCTACAATCACTCTCCCACTTTTCAAAACCACTCCTATTACAGTTAAAGTGAAGTCCATCTTCAGTTTTGTTTTTACAGCCTGAATCAAAATTTGCCAGTAAGCTTTTAGACACCCACTTTCTTTTCCTTCAAAATATGCCACAGTATTTTAAGTATATAAATTTGCTAATAAACATTTGCAAACCACTGCTTTACCTGGGATTTTCCATAGAAAATCATCATTTTCCATATAAACATGCACCAGAAAACCTAAATAAAAAATCTTATTTATGGCAGAAAGTTTTTCTTTTAGGCAGCAATCAACATGCTTCTAACTTTACTGATTGAATCCGCTATATCCCTAGTGCAACCACAAGCTGCAACGCACATTTCCAAAGTTGTATAAAGAGTACAGAGTTGTGCAGGAGTCATCCGTGAAATCAGACTCTGAGATATTAGTAGTTACAACATCTGAAGAAGCCTAAGTTTTATCATTAGATTCCTAATAATACCAAAACTACAGGTATTAATAAATATTTTAGGAATTTTACTTATCGATGAAATACACTAGGACGTTATTTTAGGTAAGAATATCTGCCTTTCTTTCTGCTTCAAACGACATCAAGTCACCTGAAAATTGGCAGTTGTGACCTGGATTTGATGTATGGAAAAAAATCAGTGTCCCCAACACCCAGATACACACGCACACACCCACAACATTTGCATTACTATTAAATGACCCCAGTTTACACGTGGCAAGTCTACAGAACTATTTCATGTTTTAATTACATCGAAAGGGATTCCTCACCCGTCAAGTAATGGAATGCAATTAATTCTGAGTTGGGAATTGAAAGTGTTAGGGGAAAAAATAATTTTTTAAGAGTTTCTTCTAGGCTGGCTGTCCCACACGAGAAAGCGCTTTGTCCACGTCTAGGCAGACGTGTATAGGTCGGAGAAGGTGGGACTGTTCAGGAAACCAAGACCCTTCTCCTGCCCATCACCTTCTGCTCTCCTCTGCCTCCCCTTTTCTTTCTAGGGGGCGGTGGAAAGGCCCCCGAATGAGAAGCCCTGGCGAGGGACTGCAATCATCTGAGCCAGGCCCTGAAGACGCTGGGTTGGGCAGCCCCTCCTGTCACACACTTCCCAGATCAACCACCGTGAAGGGCTGCCACGGCCCCAGCTGCAGGGCTGCTCGGGGCGGGGGCTGCGGACCCGGCCCGTCCAGGCCGCGGCTCTCGCAGTGCCCACGTCACCAGCTCCAGCACTGCGGAAATGGAGCGCCGCGGCCCGGAGGGAGGCGCGGAACGGCGTCGGCGACGCGGTGCCGCTGCCAGCCGCCGTCTGCCGCTCCGCCGGGGTCTGTGGGCAGCCGACACCCACTTTGCCGCGTCTGGGGCCCTCACCTGTGTCGCCGATGATGATGTACTTGAAGAGATAGGCGTACGCCATGGCCGCGGCCGCTCAGTGCCAGGGCACACGGCTCCTCCTCCCGCTACTGCTCCTCCTCCTCCTCCGGGCCCCTCACCCGGCGCCGCTCAGCCTCCAAACACCAGGCCCCGCCCGCCGCAGCAGCCGTCAGTCGCCGTCAGCAGCCGAGAGTGAGCAGCAGACAAGCCGGACAAACTGACACCGGCGTAGCAGTGGGAGACAATCGCCTGACAGAGTCTGGTGGAACAATAACAGCCTCCGCTGCACCTCCGCCCCGCCTCCGCGCCGACCCGGAAGAGCTTCGGCCGCCGGCACCGTCGGAGTAAAGGGGAGGAGCCGCTACGCCGGCAGCGCCGCACCCCCGGGCCGGAGCCCCGCCCAGCGCCAAGCGGGCCGCGCCCAGTCTGCCAGCAGCCCGGCGGGGCGTTGGTTGTTACTGCAACTTTGTGCGTGCGAGTGATCCCAGATGCCAGAAGTTGGCGGTGCGGAGGGGAGAGTTCGGTTCTGTCGAGGGTGCCGGGTTCTTCCGTTTTGCGGAAGGGGCTCGGAACACGTCGTGGGAAGGTTGCGTTCGGAGTAGGATCTGGCCCTTGGCTGGTGAAAAGGTGTTTGAATGCAGGACCCTCCGGGAGGTGGGTTGGTGTGCGATGATGTTTCTGGACTTGGGGACTGGACTGCACAGTGAAAATGCAAGTGTTTATATATTCCAAACAGTAAATAAGGGAAAACGAATAAATAATGTTATGCCCCTACGGCGCAATACTATAGGGCTCTTAAAAATGTAAAGACTGACTTAGATTAAGTGAAAACAGAGCACAAGAAAGACTGTATAATTGTATATTTGTATAATATGTTATTTACATATATGTAACAATCACTTATACAATAAATAATTGTAACTTATATTTTATATCAATATATGTATTTTTAGCATTGTGTAAAACAATGACAGTAATTTATTTTTTAATATATTTTATTATGCCATTAGTTGTTCTATTTCCCCTCTACCTTGCACACCCCCCACCATTCCCCCCTTTAGTTTATGACCACATGTCTCAAGTTCTTTAGATTCCATATTTCCCATACTATTCTTGCCCTCCCCCTATCTATTTTCTACCTACCATCTATGCTACTTATTCTCTGTACCTTCTCCCTTCTCCTTCTCCCACTCCCCTGTTGCTAACCCTCCATGAGATCTTCATTTCTATGGTTCTGCTCCTGATCTAGCTGTCCTCTTAGTCTGTTTTGTTTTATGTGTGGTCGTTAATAACTGTGCATTTGCTGCCCTTTCACTGTTCATATTATTTATCTTCTTTTTCTTAGGTAAGTCCCTTTAACATTTCATATAATAAGGGCTTGGTGATGATGAACTCCTTGAATTTGATCTTATCTGAGAAGCACTTTATCTGTCCTTCCATTCTAAATGAAAGCTTTGCTGGATAGAGCAATGTTGGATGTAGGTCTTTGGATTTCATGACTTGGAATATTTCTTTCCAGTCCCTTCTTGCCTGTAAGGTCTCTTTTGAGAAATCTGCTGACAGTCTGATGGGAACTCCTTTGTAGGTGACTGTCCCCTTATCTCTTGCTGCTTCTAGAATTCTCTCCTTCATTTTAATCTTGGCTAATATAATTATGATGTGCCTTGGTATGTTCCTTCTTGGGTCCAACTTCTTTGGGACTCTCTGAGCTTCCTGGATTTCCTGGAAGTCTATTGCCTTTGCCAGATTGGAGAAGTTCTCCTTTATTATTTGTTCAAATAAGTTTTCCACTTGTGGCTGTTCCTCTTCCCCTTCTGGTACCCCCTATAATTCGGATGTTGGACCATTTAAAGATGTCCTGAAGGTTCCTAAGCCTCTTCTAATTTTTTTGAATTCTTCTTTCTTCATCCTTTTCTGTTTGGTCATTTTTTTCCTCCTTCTGCTTCACTCCTTTGATTTGAGTCCCAGTTTCCTTTCCATCACTATTGGTTTCCTGTGCATTTCCCTTCATTTCAATTAGTTTAGCCTTCATATGTTCCTCTAATTTGTGACTAAAATCAACCAGTTCTGTGAGCATCCTGATCACCAGTGTTTTGAACTGTGCATCTGAAAGTTTGGCTATTTCTTGGTCACTTAGATTTATTGGCTCTGGGGCTCTGAGTTGTTCTTGAGCCATGTTTTGGTCTGTTCTCGCCTGTTAAGTATGAGGAGCAAAGCCTTAGGTGTTCACCAGGGCAGGGCCACCCACGTTGTTGTTTTGTGATGCTGCATGTGGAGGCAGGGTCAGAGAGGATCAATGGCGGTCCCCTCTGCCACTTTTCGCCACTGGGGCCTTCGTGGTTCATCTCACCCCTCACTCCTTCACTGGTTTATCTGCTCGCGAATGTGTGACCGTGGTCAGCCCTCATTGAGTCCACCGCCTTGCGCCCTCAGTGGGTCTGCCCGCTTCTCCACACCTGGGATCTGCCCACTGCTTCCTGCACACCTGGGTCGTGTGCCTGGGTAGGTCCGGTAGATTTTTCCTGCCCGACCCAGCTCTGCTGCTGGCTCTGCCCCTCTTACCGGTTTGGCTAAAGGGTTTGTTGTTGTCGGAGTTCTGTGTAGTTCAATTTTCTGTGGTTTGGCTGCATTTTCATTGCTAAAACTTTGTTGTTTTTAAACTTGGTTGTGTGAGAAGGAGTAGTGCTTCCACCTACGCCTCCATCTTGGCGGAAGTTTAAAAAATGACAGTAATTTAAATGCCCATATTTGTATAGTCGATCTGAAAGGAAACACAACTGGCACCAAGGGAGGGGTGTGATTGGAAAAAGAGCTATGTTTCACAGAATAATTCACTTACGGTTCGAATTTTTTTTTTTGCAGTGTTCAGGAATTACCTGTTGAAAAATACATTTAAGATACTAAACAAATAATTTTTTGTTCATTGAACTAATACTTTGTGAGTACTTACTTTGTTTCCTGCACCCCTAGCAATTACAATGAAATGCAGACTCTGTAGGAAAGAAGCACAAATTTTAGAAGAGGGAATACAGGACAGAGTCAGTGTCAGGAAAGGTTACCTGACACTAGAAGATTATGTCTGAACCAGGCTGATGAATTATAAGTAAGAATTTGTCAAAAAGACAAAAGTTCAGGGAAAGGAACTGAAGTTTTAGGCCCAGAAACAATGTGCAAAGTTCATGGATTTGTTCAGGGAATTTAAAGTTGTGTGAAGGGGGAAGTGACTGGGATTTAGTGGCCTAGTTGCAGTTGCCTAATACTCTCTTCTCTCCCTTGGGGCTATCTCACATAATTCTGTTAACACCTTCATGCTGGGCAAGTGTGAACTCACAGTTTTTTTTTCTAGATTATTTGGACGGGATTTTACTAAAGGTTCAGGGATAGTTTACAAGGATTTGACATGAAAGTTACCTGGAATTGCATAACTTGGTTTACTCTTTTCTTTGGGGGAGGGGATGTCTCTGCCCAGGTTCCAGAGTCCATTTGTCCCTCCCATTGGAGTGCTTTCTCTGGGTCTTTACTAGTGATGATACACATTAAGCTGGTGATACACATTTGCCCTGGCTGGTGTGGCTCAGTGGATTGAGTGCCTGCCTGCAAACCAAAGGTCACTGGTTCTGATTCCCAGTCAGGGCACATGCCTGGGTTGTTGGCCAGGTCCCCAACAGGGGGTGCTGGAGAGGCAACCACACGTCAATGTTTCTCTCCCTCCCTCCCTCCCTCTCTAAAAATAAATAAATAAAATCTTTTAAAAAAGAATCTCCCCTCCTTCCAAGAGAAATTCAGTTTCCTACCACTTTCAGAGGTATGGCCTTATAACCTCAACAGGACAAGTCTCTCAGGGTATTACACAAAAGCCTAGCATCCTTCTGAGGCAGGAAGATTCCTACACTATTAGAGCAGGTCACGCAGGGTTTTGTAGCTGTGTCAGTATGCACAAAGAATTTTACCCAGTGGACACAGGAAAACTGAAGAGAAAGGTCAGAAATCATGGAGAGGGACATGACGCTATAGCGGCATTAGAGAGGCAATGTGGAGTACATAAAAGAAATTAGGAAACCTGGCTGTTGATCTTGGCCCTACCACTAACCGACTAACAAATTATTTGGATTCTTAGAGTAGTGCACCCAGCTATAAAGTGAAAGAGTTAAGTGTTACCTAACAGGGCTGTTTCAAGTCTAAAGTTCTTGAATTTGATGTCTATCCAACCTCCAGATTGAAAGCCACCTGTAAAATAGGTAGTAATCCTCTTATGAAAATGTCAGGCCCACAAGAGTCAAATGAATGTGGTTCCTACTTAGAACTGGGATGCATTACTTATTTGTGCACAGGAATTGTAATGGCAGTTTCTACAGAGCTCTGTCAAAAAAGAAAAAGAGGGTTCAGTTGTCAAGTCTTCCCTTGAGCCTCTTTTTTCTTACCTGGAAAATGTAGATAATAATTACCTCACAAAATAAATTTGGGATCTAAGGAGATAATGTATGTGAAGATATTTTGTAAATTATGAAAAATATGTATTTAATACATAAAACATTTAGCGCTGCATAATTTTTTTAATTACCTTGAGAGAATAAAGACAATCACAATATAAATTTATGTTTTAAAATCAGCTACATTCCTGTCTCTGTTTTATGTGTCTGCTTATTTTTTCCTGTATGTACTTCATGATATTTCTCTAATCCTATATGCTGTTTTCAGTTTTGTTTTTTGTTTTCAGTTTTTTTTTTAAACAATACGGGGTGGAAATAAAAATCACAGAAATTCCGTTTAAAACATTTATCCCCGAAATTCAAAAACATTTTTCAAGAAAGATTCCTCAGGCAAAATAATTCCTCAGGCACTCTTCTCTTAAGTGATAGTAGGTAATCACAGGAAATCACTTCCTGTGATTTTCCATTCAGTTCGATTTTTAGCTGTTTCACCCTCTTGGGGATGCATTTCAGTAACCTCATCTCTCAGTCTTACATCATTTATGTTGTGAAGGTCAAAACTGAAATTTAAAGATTGAAAGACTATATTCTCCAAGTTCTCCTTATTCAAGTTTTCCATGACATTTTGTAGTACAATATAATATTGGAATTTTGCATTTACTTCTTAGCCATACTTTTCATGTGTTTACATTTTCTCTGGTTTTGATTGCTCTGAGATGTGGGGTGAAAGGCAGGATGGATAAGGATGGAAAAATGGTGACCTGGAATATTGTCATTCATTGGTTTTTACTTTGGTTTCCTTGGCCAGTTCTTGAATGAACTCAGGGGC